GCGTTAGGGGAAGGAGTAAATAACACTTTCCACACCAGCCATGATTTAATAGTTCCCTATTATGTGCCCCTTTAGTCATGTTTCCCAAGCTGAAAAATCCCAGTCTTATAAATCTCTCCTTGTATGGCAGCCATTCAGTATTCCTAATCATTTTTGTCCTTTTCTGAACTTTTCCCCACTCCTCCCAAGATATTTTTTGAGATGGGGTGCCCACCTCTGCATGCAGTATTCAAGATGTGGATGTACCATGGATTTATAAACAAGGCAATAAGAAATTGTCTTATTCTCTGTCCCTTTTTTAATGATTCCTAACGTTTGCTTTTTTGACTTCTGCTGAACATTAAGGCTGTGTCTACATTGGCACCATTTTCCAGAAAAGGGATGCTAATGAGACCATTTAACACATCATTGACAACAAAAGCTAAGTATGGGACACTTCCAGCCTACTCAATTACCTCATTAGCACTTGTACTACTATTGACAGGCAATTTTCCCCCCTCTGCTTTCTTTTACAGTTATAATTCTGATAGTTCCCCCTTTTTCTCCACTCAAGATCATCTGAAGAAATGGGTTTTGCCCACAAATATATATTGTTAGTCTCTAAGGCTACGTCTAGACTACATGCCTCTGGCGACAGAGGGGGTACATCTAGACTACCAGGCATAGGAAAATGAAACGGCGATTTAAATAATCGCCACTTCATTTAAATTTACATGTCTGCTGCGCTGAGCCGATCAGCTATTCAAGAACAACTGTTCGGGTACGTCTAGACTACATGCCTCTGGCGATAGGCATGTAGATTAGACTAGCAGGCATAGGAAAATGAAGCGGCGATTTAAATAATCGCCGCCTCATTTAAATTTACATGGCTGCCGCACTGAGCCTATCAGCTGTTTGTCGGCTCAGCACGGTAGTCTGGACGCGCGGGGGTCGACATCAAAGGCATTTGTCGACCTCCCAGGTATGGGATGAGGCATACCTGGGAGGTCGACAAATGCCTTTGATGTCGACCCCCGCGCGTCCAGACTACCGTGCTGAGCCGACAAACAGCTGATAGGCTCAGTGCGGCAGCCATGTAAATTTAAATGAGGCGGCGATTATTTAAATCGCCGCTTCATTTTCCTATGCCTGCTAGTCTAATCTACATGCCTATCGCCAGAGGCATGTAGTCTAGACGTACCCGAACAGTTGTTCTTGCGCAAAAAATTGCGGAGCGTCTACACTGCATGTGTGTTCTTGCGCAAGTAAATTTACAGTAAACCTCAGAAGAGGGTTTCTTGTGCAAGAATTATTCCTCTTCCCACGAGGAATAAGCCCTCTTGTGCAAAAGCTCTTGCGGAAGAAGGCAGTGTGGACAGGAACAGGGATTTCCTGTGCAAGAAACTCCTATGGCTAAAATGTCCATCAGAGATTTCTTGCACAAGAGAGCATTCACACTGCCATGGACACTCTTGCGCAAAAGCACATAGCAGTCTGGACGCATTCTTGAGCAAAAACTTTTGCACAAGAAGTCTTTTGCACAAAATGTTCTTGCGCAAGAAGCCTACAGTGTAGATGTAGCCTCAGTGGATGTTGTCAGAACTGCCCACAATGAATTAAAAAATGCTTGAGTGATAACAGCTAATTTAGTCCCCATCATGCATTACTTTTCATTTATCGGCATTAAAATTCATGTGTCTTGTTGCCCAGTCAACTAGTTTTGAGATCCTTTTGAAGCTTTTCAAAGTCTGCTTTGGACTCAGCTATCTTGAGCAGTTTTGCATCACCTGGTAATTTTGCCACCTCATGGCTTACCCCTTTCTCCAAATCATTTATGAATAGATTGAACAGGACTGGCTCCAGTTCAAAGCCCAGATGGATACCACCTATGTTCCCTCTAATTTTTTCCATCCATGTCTGAAATAAAGTTATATGCTGTGAAACATGTGTGGATATGCACTACCAGTAGAAACATGTTGCTGACTGTGGGCATTGTGGTGGGTGGCATTTGAATCTCTCCTGGGTGGCTCTCCACACACTCATCTGACAGTGAACACTGGGGACTACTCATTTGCTCCTACCCTTTATTATCTTTTAACCAGTTACCCAATCCATGAGAGGACTTTCCCTTTTATCCCATGACAACTTACTTTGCTTAAAAGCCTTTGGTGAGAGACCTTGTCAAAGGCTTTCTGGGAATCCAAGTACACTGTACCCACTGGATTCCCCCTTGTCCTCAAGCTTGTGGACCTCCTCAAAGAATTCTAGTAGATTAGTGAGGCACAATTTCCCTTTACAAAAACCATGTTAACTTACCCCCATAAATTATGTTTAGAATTGTCAAGACATAGATATTCTTTACTATAGTTTAAACCACATTCTTGGTACTGATGTTAGACTTACTGCTCTGTAATTGTCAGGATCGCTTCTAGAGCACTTGTAAAAAATCCATGTCATATTAGGTATTTTTCAGTTATTTTGGTACAGAAGATGCTTTAAGGGATAGGTTACAAACCAGTGAGTAGTTCTGCAGTTTCACACTTGAGTTTTCAGAACTCTTGGGTAAATGCCATCTGGTCCTGATGACTTGATACTGTTTAGTTTATCACTGTTTCATTCCAAAACTACCTCTTCTAATACCTCAGTTTTGTCACCTAAAAAAAGGCTCAGATTTGGGAATCTGCCCGATGTCCTCTGTCATGTAGATCAAAGAATATTTAGTTGCTCTGCAATGACTTTGTCCTTAAGTGCTCCTTTAGCATTTTGATCATCCAGTGGCCCTACTGGCTGTTTAGCAGGCTTTCTACTTCAGATATAAAAAAAATTGCTATTACTTAGGGTTTTTTGGCTAGCTGTCTTTAAAATTCTTTTTGGACTGATGAAATGTACAAATATTATTTGACAGCATTTATGCTTTTTATCTGCTCACTAGGAATTAATTTCCACTTTTTAAAACATGCCTTTAATCTTTCACTTGACTGTTAAGCCATAGTGGCACTTTTAGTCTCTATTCTGGGGGGTCTTTGAAAAATTTCCATAGAGTTTACTGTAAACTCACTTTCGGCAGTGTACCTTTTAAATTTCTGCTTAACCTCATTTTTATATAGTTCTCCTTTCTGAAAATAAATGCTATAGTGTTGGGCTGCTCTGTTTTTCCCACCACAGGGATGTTTAATTTTATTACATTATGTTCACTATTTCCAAGTGATCCAGCTACAGTCACCTCTTCAGCCAGATCTGGTGCTCCACTTAGGACAAACAAGAATTGCCTCTCCTGTTGTGGGTTTCCAGAAACAGCTGCTCCAAAAAACAGTCATTTAAGGTGTCAAATTTCTCTCTGGATCCTGGCCCAAGGTGATGTGTACAGAGTCAATATGGGGATAGTTGAAATCTCCCATTTATTTTGATAGTCTCTCATCTCACTTATATTTCAGTCACTATCACCATCCTGGTCAGGTGATCATTAATCTATGCCTACTGCTGCACTCATTACTAGAGCATGGAATTACTATCCAGAGATTCTATGGAACAGTTTGGTTAAGTTAAATTTTTACTTCATGAATGTACACTTTCTTTTACATAGTGCCACTTCAGCATGACTTGTTCCTGTCCCTTTGTCTTTGGAACTAAGCAACTGCATGTTTATAGTAGCTTGTGAAAACTGGTTCATGCTCTATTGATTTATTCAGGTATCTCCACCACTATAATTAAACCCCATGATGCAAGCCACAAATGAATACTACACCATAAATGTGCATGCATGAATCACCTTTTTATTGGTGCAATAATGAGTTTTGTAATAGGGCACATGTTTAAAGAAATGTACTTAAATAACCTGTGCTGAAAACAAAATAACAGGATGTGTTGTCACTAGAATACAGGGGTAAGTTTTGAGGATCAAGATTTAGAAATTGTTCAGTTATTTTACTGCAACACCACACTTACATCAAGCTAGGTCCCTGCAAAACATTGCTAAACATGTAAACTTTGACAAGCTTTTAAAGTGCTGTTCACCATGAGATGTGTATTTCTTCATGCAATATAAAATTTTGTAAAAGGCCACATGATTAAAGTACGTAAGCTTCTTTCCTCCCTTCCTTGGGAAAAAGAATTGAGTGCTGGTGAAAAGTGCCAAACTGGCAGCCTGGAAGATGAAGTCCTATATTTAATCAGATAACGAATCCTGCACTAGTCAGCTTCAAAATGATACTAGTGTGCTCAACTTTTAAAGCAAGGAATCCCCCTCTTTGGCTAGGAAGTTCAGTCTGTAGGGCCCATTCAAATCCCTGACCTCTGCTAAAACATTCGCCATGGAAATTAGTATTAATGACATTCTGGGGGCATGTTAAGGACATCAATCCACATCGGCTCATAATTTGGATCATTATGGACACAATCTTTATTGCCAAATGCCAATTACCTGAACTTCAGTTCTACTCTGTCTTGAACAATTAATTTTAGGAAATGTCCACACTTAGTATTTTGGAGCTAAAGTAGTAATGCTTCAGTGCAAGTCAATTAAGAGGCATTGAAAGTCACAGGTTGATTCCCTGAGCTAAGGAAATCACTCATGACATTTTCATGTCTGTTCAGTAAAAAGGGCTAACAGATGTGCTAGCTTCATTTTGTCTGATTGCTATTAGCAAGTTTACAAGGTCTCACAGGGGAGGGACCCAGAAGTTATTTTTCCAATTTATTTTAAATTCATCTCCCCAGAGAATTTAGACTTTCTGCTTTGGGGAAGATGACTGACCCGTTCCATCTCCAACTTAAATCTGCTCTTTGAAATATTAAAATGTTGAATTTTAACAAAGCTAATTGTTACACTAAAAGTATCTCAAGTATTACAGCAGTTCAGTTGTGATTTGACCATGGTATCTATTTTAGGGATTCATGGCAGACAGTTTGGACTATTACAATGTTTGCAGAGACATCAAATCTTATTGTGCAGATTTCAGAGCACAAAACTAAAGGATTTCGTAGTACAGAAGTTATGTTCCCCAAATAAGTTTGCAAACATGGCACAGAATAATAGTACTTTATATTTATGTAGCACCTTTCATCAAAGCACTTTACAAACTATCAAACAGTCTCAATACCTCTGTGAGGTGTAGTAATTTGTCTAGTGTATATCACCATTCACTGACAAAATTGAGAATATAGACTCTGATAGTCCCTTGGTCTAGTCACAAATCAGCTTCATCTCAACTATTTAGAATACAGTATTTAAAGGCATATGAAATACACTCCCATTACAATAGCTTTAAGTATCTGCTTCTAGTCTAGCATTAAAAACAAGTGTAAAAGCTAAGTGGGCTTAACAATGACAGCTCACTTGATTTCTATAATAAACATGAGAAGTGTCACTTAATACTGAATAAAATAATTCTGGTCCATTATATTCTTGTGGATATTATTTATGTACTGCTTTCTTTAGGTCTTAAGACAGCAAAATATCTATGCACATATAACTAAAATCACATTTCTAGTTCCACGGAGAACCATAGAATTATGCCCGTAGTTAGAGATTCATGAGGGCCCCAATTCAGGAAATTACTTAAGCAGGAGGCTTTTCTGGATCAGGGCAGGGGATGCATCTTTGTTCCCCTCTTGCTCAACTGTCCAGAAGGGGTCTCAAACTGTAAGCAAAGTAACAAAACAAGGCTAAAAATTTAAATGCCTCAACATGTGTGTCTTAAGGCATTTACTCTAAAAGAAAGTTGTTTGTGTACAGCCACAACATCTTTCAGATGATCTCAAAGCACTTGATATTAAGCTCACAATCAATCCCCCATAAAGCGATACTTCTTTAGTATAACAGGTTTCAACATCCCTGTTTCACTTCAAGAGCATTTTACCTAGCTTATTTTGTTGTGAAAAACTGCTCTATTCTTTATTAAAATTGAGAACTTGCTATTTAATCACTGGGGAGAAATCTAGCAAGTTAAATGATATCTGGCACAATACAAAGAAACTTCAAGTTTTTCCCTTTTGGATAAATGCTCTGATTTTCTGAAAAGAACAAGCCTTTGACCTATAAAAGAATGAGAACCATAGATTAAAAAGTGCCAACATAATACTTGGAGCCTGGTACAGCTTAACACTTCCCATGCCCACAAGATCAGCCACATTTAAGCAAAACTAGATTTAATGTTTAATCAATACAATCTAGTTGTAATCTGAACTACTGTAATTCCTTCTTGCTGTAACAGATATTAGTATGGGTCAAAGTATTTCAAGAAACTACATCCTGATGTAGTGTAAACTGAGGGATTAACAGTTAACTTTCAAGCAACTAAACTACATTTCAAATAGTGCTTATGGGGAAATATTAAGTCTATTGGCCATTTAACTGTCTACTCCATTTTAAGAAGGCTTTCTCTCAATTTACTATCAGACTGCGTATTCTTTCTTTCGTTATGACACAATATAGAACAGCTTTGTTACCAATTCTATAGGAAGTGTTCACTGTAGGTGTCTGCTGAAAACATTGCTTAATTGCATAAAAGTTATGTAATTCTTACTCTAAATGCCAAACTAACACCATTTTAGAAGTCCTGAAAGATTCTAACTCAATCCCATAATTCAGAGTTTAGATTTCAGTGTTATTCTGCAAGTCTTTATGTAACTCTAGGTACAGTATTAAGTGTATGTCCAGCCATGTGTCTCAGCAGCTTCTCCATCAGAAAATAAGGTTCTTCAGGAATCAGGACTTTTAGCTGTTGACATACAACAAAAACAGCTGCCACTTACTTTAAAATCTGCATGCAATCCAGCATGCAATAAGTTACCTATTTCAAACTAGTTGGGAAGAGAGCATCACTACCGTATACCTATCTGTAAACCTGCACACTAACCATAACAAACCTGTGTGTCTCAATAATTAAGTTAATAGGGCTTTTCAAGCTTTGTGAAGGGAGCTTTTTATGCTTACATACAGCTTATCTGAAAACCCAGAATCTTATTCTGGATCAGTGAGGTAGTGATGTAACCATCCTCAAGCAGATGTCACACTTCTCCAAAATTCGTGTGCCCAGTCTCCTTTGCGTGTTCTCTGGCTTCCACTTGTCCAGTTAATCCCTTCTGGCACACCATGCATCTCAGCGTAAAGCGGTTTACATCAGTAAACTGCCTTTTTCGTCTGGCTTCATCTGCTAATTCCAATGCTTGTGCAAGAACAATATCATCATTTGTTGAGAAAATGGTCAGGGGAGGGATGTCTGAGTCCGGGATTTTACGTTCAAGGGGATCATAATGAATCCCATCATAAATCAGAAGGACCCGCTTAGCATAGCCAGCATCTTCCCCAAAACGATCAATTCGGACTGTCTGTGTATCCACTACACAGATTTCACACTGATAAAACTTAGACAAAATGGACACTTCAATGGCTCCTCCCCATGTATCTTCTCTTCTGATCCATGCACAGTACTCTTGATTGGTTTTCCCTAGTACTGCCTCACAATAGGACTCCGGATCACTTGCCACTATCTGAGCTATAAGACTGCGCATCTCTGGAGCACATGCTGGATCATAAATGCCCCCCTCTACCACATAGAATATGCTTGTGAAGAGACAAGAGTTATCTGCTGGAACAGCCCTCCTTCCAAGTACAGGCACTGCCCCCCTGACAAAATTAGGGACACTCCTTTTTGCAACTACAGGTGACTCAGTCTTGGGTTTGGTTGTGTCCTCTTCAACTATTAGAGTATCACCTGTCAAAAATAAAAAGAGACATGAGAGAAAATCCAGCATTGAATCACCATAATGCATTGCAAACAAAGGAAAAACTGCACAGTGAAGCAAATCTTTGTCCCAGTGTACCATGCCTCGGTTCTCTGATAAGATTAGATAAGCACAATAGAAAGCATTACCCATTTGATAAATTACATAAGCCACAGCAAGATGTAGAAAATAACAGCTTTGGGACCTCACCGTATATGGCTGGTTGAGAGACACAAGCTTTGTGCTGAAATCTCTAAATTGGCAAAACAAGTAATATTTTCAAGTTTGTCTAAATCTGGGCCACAAGAGGAGTGATATTTAGAGATGTTTATATTTACATAAGCTGCTAGATAAGTTTAAGTCAGACAACACTATTTTGCAATCCTTTAATAAAAAGGGTGGTAAGAGAAGCATCCCAAATGAGTTTCAGTTAAGCTAATTATAATCTGCTTGAAAGGCAGGCTCAATTAAGTCTGGTATTCTGTTGCTCATCCTGTCTTGAGCAGTAAGATGTAGAATAATATTGTTTGTGTGCGTATGTATGAAATAATAATAGAATATTGTGTTTTTAAGCTCCTGCTGCCTTTTACTCCAGCAAGAGCTAGATCTTTTGCAATCTGTTCTTTTACAGTTGACTCATGCTCACAAGGCTACAGTATCTGGGGAGAGAATGAAATAAGCTAGAGAAAGGACATGCTTGCTAAGCCATCCATTTCAGTGAGCCCTGAGCATCACTTCTAGGGACAACTTCAACTTACACTTGCCCTCTCAGATCATATTCTGGAAGAAAATTGGCATGACCAGGGCTTGACAAACAGCGGAAAAATCTATTTGCCAGACCCACATTGCGCATGCCCGTGCCACCGGTGAACGGGGTGACCGGCTGAAGTGGACTTGCCATGGGCAAGTAGATTCACTGATTTGTCAAGCCCTGGGCATATCCATATATACCAGAGGAATACAATGAAAAAAGTGAACACATTATTAACACCGTTTAATAATGTGTTCACTTTTTTCATTGTATTCCTCTGGTATATATGGATATGCCCAGGGCTTGACAAATCAGTGAATCTACTTGCCCATGGCAAGTCCACTTCAGCCGGTCACCCCGTTCACCGGTGGCACGGGCATGCGCAATGTGGGTCTGGCAAATAGATTTTTCCGCTGTTTGTCAAGCCCTGGTCATGCCAATTTTCTTCCAGAATATGATCTGAAGAAGCAGGTCTGGCCCACAAAAGCTCATCACCTATTACACCATCTTGTTAGTCTCTAAAGTGCTACACAGTATTTCCTTTTGTTTTTGCAAAATCAGACTTAACAGGGCTACCTCTCTATTGGTACTCTTACCCCCAACAGTCTGAAGAAGTGGGCTGTGCCCACGATACCATCTACCTGTTTGTGTCTATAAACAGTGCTTGTTTTTTTCCCTGTACTGACTAAGTCGGCTCGCCCCTGAAGTCTCTACCACGTCCGTTGGAGAATGACGAAGCGTGAAGCAGACAGGGAAGGTTCTGCTCGCTCTCTGGACCTGGAGCCCAGATTCCTACCCCTCGGGCCAGCTGTGCCCGGCGGGGCACCCCACAGCCTCGCTGGAGCGCAGAGCGCGGCCTGGGG